CGTGCTCGTGGCTCGTCTGCCTCTGTCATAACCCAGCCACGGCAGGGCCAACCGCCGCAAGGTACTTTCCAGCATCAGGCAATCCGTCAACGAAGCGCATCCGAGCCTCAGCTAGATCGCAGTAAGAAAAGTACGGTGTGGACGCTCATATATGGACCTGATCGCCTCCTATACGACAAAGAAAGAGGACGAGTCCACTACTTCAGTCCATCAACCTGTTTCAAGAACTATGTCAGAGATAATATGACCACAGAGGTCCGAAATGTAGACCAATGGACGAACCGCATCCTGAACGACATCTCCACGGAGGTGGATGCCTATCTCATGGAACTATTCTGGACTCGATACAACAACATACTGGGTATTGTCGATCAACAAGCATTTTGTCGTGACCAGGCCAGTGGAGCTTCTACGTACTACACTGGTTTTCTTCATCTGGTGTGTTTAGCGATGGCGTATCAATTTGCGGACAAGCATCGCCCAGAAATACGGCAAGTCACTCTGAAAAATGGCTCCAGCCTTTTCCACCGTGAAGTCAAGTACAATCTGGAGCGGGAACTGGAAAGTCTGCACGGACTGACCACCATCCAGGCTATGCTGATCCTGAGTGACGTCGAATGTGCTCGTGGAAGGGATGATTTGGCGGCCATGCACATCTGTACCTCTTGTCACCTTGCCTTCGACTTTGGCCTCGCTCTGGACTGTGTCGAGCTGGCACTGACAGAGGAAGAAGTCCACTTTCGAAGGAAAATGCTGCGGTCTTGTATGATCTATGACCGGGCTTGGGCCTTGTATTTGGGACGGCCAGCTGTTATGAAACTCTGTGATGTTTCCAGTTCTTGTTTGACCATTCGTGTGGCCGAGGACAACGATTCCACGGCGTCTCCCCGGAGCGGCCAGTCAAATGAGCACCTCTCCTCTGACCAAGATATCCATGGACGAATCTTGGACGCCTTACTTGACCTTGCCGAATTGTGTTTGAAGATACAAGACATAGCACAGCCTAGGCTGGTTCCAGGGAAGATCGCCGATGAAGATCGTTTGCTCGAGGTCACAGTAGCAGACAAGAAGTTGAGATCATGGCACTCGACGTTGCCCGCAGACCTCAAATGGACAGAACAGAACGCGAAAAAGGCGCCGCCCCTGTTCTTCATGATGCAGTAAGTGTCTTCACCCACAATATCGCTTAGACCTTTGTGTGAAACTCACTGATTGCTCAATAGTCAACAATTTCATGTTGCCCGTATCCTCCTGTACGGGCCCTATGCACACTACGAGCATGTGCTAGGGATTGAGGTGGCGAAATCGAACGTTTTCGGGACAGGAAACAAAAGCCAGAGCAACATCAGTCCATGGCAACAACTGGCTCGGTGTGTGACGATGGAGGCTGCCATGAAAATGGCCCAGGGATTCTCAGCGTACCGTCAGATCTGCGGAAGCAGTCAAGCAAATGTTTTGTCCATTCAACAAGGCGCCACAACGTGCCTTACACTCATGTGTATAACCAAGGCTAGCAGAACACCCGAGACTCGCAACGTCGGTCTTCGACATCTCTATCTGTTAATGGAGCAGCTGCAAGAGATGTCTGACGTGTACAGCTCGGCCAAAGTCATATGCGGCGTCGTCAAACACGAGATGGAAAAACTCCGAATCAATTTTACGGAATTACTCACGCCTCCCCAGACTCCTGATGCGTTTACCTCTCCACCATCAGGTACGCACGTGCGGCGAGGGACCAGCCAAAGCAATGAAGACTTAAGCCCACCGCCTACGAAACGAACCCGGCGAAGCGAAGATAGCCCAAGGCCTGACCCAGTTCTGACGAATTCCCCTCTTCAAGATTCGGACTTTAACTTAGAAGGACTTTTCCAGGGTCTGAATGACCCGATCCAGTCCTTTTCTCACACAAACCTCACGGTGGTTACGCTGCCTGCATCACCCATTCAAGATGGAGATGCCGGCCTGACTCAAGGAACAACCTTCATGGACCCCAACTTAGATTCTATGCAGCTTCTGCCTGATCCTATGTTTTATTTACATCCTTCGAATCCGTCCTTGCCCATGGAGTTCTCTACAATGTCGAACTCTTTCGATGATCCGAGCCAGGATCAGATCAATGAGCTTTTACCGCCATGGCTGCTTGATGGTACTCTTTTCGACATGGTCGACGATAGCTCAGGGATATTGCCGGAGATATCTAGGTACTGATAATCTTGATGTAAACATCATGCCTTGATTGGGGCGTTTGCACTAGTTTCAGAAGCGTTCTGTTGTTATGAATACGATGTTCTACCAAAGTCCTCTGCAATGATTCCAACCATATGGATGTACAATAACCAGTCCGAAATGGATGCCACCTTGGAAATTCTGTTCCATGTCAAATCTCGGATCGCCATCATTTCATTCGTTAAAGGTAGAAGAATCAATAGACTCGACGCTGGCCCGAAATTGAGTCGAGTTTGTGGTCCACGCATGTGCGGAAAATGAAACGCGATGGTCGATGATGATTTTTGCCTAGGCCAGCTCCTTAGCCGCCTCGGCCGCCTCGGGCACCTGAACTCTCTGGCCCACTTCATATTTGCTGAATCGTATACGTTGCATAATGCGATCAAGTCACCAGATTGTTAGGCCATAGCTATATCACACCCCGACCCTTCAGCGACGAGGACAGCTGCTGGAAAGATCTCTAGATCAAGACCAACCAATTGCAAATCTCCAATCCCGTTGGGTTGATTGCCGCTCGTGTATAGAATCCATTAGCTCATGATAAAGTAGAATGCGCCGCAACTCATACATGTGTTGCCTCTGTGAGTTGGCGTGGCAGCGACTTGTGACATAGATCGAAAGCAATACAATCCTCAGGACGGCCATCAAGCGCTGCGAAGGAATCTTTCGTGATGGGTCAATCCAAAATCACCTCAGCCGCTAACCCATGCTTGATGACGTCCAATACCTGACTGATTATGTCTTCTTTCCTGAAGCTATCAGCCGATGGTGATTTGAAGCTGCTAGATGTAGGTCTGCCCGTGTCGTGTTTCCTAACGAAGAGGATGATAGCATCAATGATTCTCTTTACGAATTGGGCCCCCTCGTACCTGCCCTGCAGATGATGGAGTATCCGCATCAGATACCCAAGCCGTTGGACTACTTCGCTCTTGTCGTCGAATGGCTGCGGCTCCCCAAGCTGGACCAAATGTAGTGCTAGGGGTAGGACGATCCAGGGCAATCTTTGAAGAGGTCAAAAATGCGTCAAGAACGAGTCCTAGGTTCCAGGATTGAATTTATCGAGAGCTACTTACAGGATGATAGGTATGTCTTTAGGCTGAGCATGCTGGAGCAAAGAGGCTGTGATGGAGGCTGTTGTGGTCGAGACTTGATTAATCTTAAGAAAGGCATGGTCTCTCACGAGCCATGCCTCCGGGCTTTTACACCTCGACGTGCCCAAAAAGGGTTCATATAAGATTGATAGCCCAAACCTAAGTCGATGTATGGTTAGTATATACATGCAATCAAACTAGACAAGTAACACAGAGGTTCGTACTGATGCATCAAGCCGAGTAAATGAAAGATGACCAGATCCGTCCGAGGTGCTGCCGTGTCTCTAACGTTAGCATACAGTTGTGCGAAGTTAACGTTCCAGACTGTCAGCTCATCTTCCAGCGTTCGAACTTCTTTTAGAAGCTGTGCGGATGGATTGACAGCTGGGAGCTCCCATGCTTCGGTATAGGCCCGGTACTGTAGTTGGACGCACTCCGCGATGGTACTGGTCAAGCCGCAGAGCAGATGGAATGCTCGAGCAAAGTAGACTTTAGCTTCCTCGGACACAAAGCGCGGGTGGGACATTTCCTCGCCAAAGTCCTGGATTTCCGGTAGCCGACTATTGATCTGGTCTCTGAGGAGGGTTGGTCGACGAAGACCCGTAGAGATCATCCGGTTGCGGATAATGCAACACCACCAGATGATCCTGCCTCTGGGCTTTGACCTTGAGCCAGGGAGTCCTCCCGCAACTGCGTGTCGCGTCGCTTCGTTGGACCAGAAGCCGTTGACTTCCCTGGTCCCGTCATATGGGCTCCAGTAGCTCAAAAGTAATGCTGCTTGGATAAGAGCCTCTTGGCCCAGTTTCTCCTGCTTAAGAAGATGGTACTGAGCTTGAGCAAAGGTAAACAATGTCTTTTGCAGTTGTGTCACTGTCATATACTCCTCGTACTGTAACTCGTCCCTCTCGAGATAAGACGAGCCTGCGAAGAGCACACAGTAGAGCAAGAGCTGCATGGAGCGTGACTGGGTGGCCTTGGTTTCACGAGGTGAATCATACCAGTTGAGGAATTTTCTCTCGTCCACGGCCGGGCAAATCGGATGAAATTGTCGAAAGTAGAGCTCGATCAATCTCGTTTGAAGTCGTATCCCCAGTGGTGGAGGCTTGGTCTGGAAATGCATCACCATCGTCAGGACATCGCACAGTAGGCATACGGAAAACATAATACCGTACCGTGAATAGACAATCGTCACCCTGCTTCTGTTCTTCCTCCGTCTGAATCTTCTCTATGCACCCTAAAATTCGTTCTAGCCCGACTATGTGACAGAGCCTCAGCGCTTCTGCCTCACTGACATATTGTGTATAGTACTTACTCGAGTGTGCAAAAAGGTCGTCGAATAGTTCTGGCCATGGCTCCTCGAATGTTGCCCCTGTTTGTTCATCTGGGAATCTGAATTTGTCTTGATCTCCCATAAGGGTATCCTCCAGAGGCAAGTCCTCAGGAATAGAGTGTAACACCTCTTGATGTGTAGCAGGGCTCTCTTTGATCGCGACTAGATCTTTGGGGCAGATTGTCTGGGGATCCATTGTGCCGGGCTGAAGAACTAGGAAGTTGTCCTTAGCTCTAGCTTATTGTATGGAGGAGAATGGACTGTTATCAGATTTCCAAACATTGTTGGAACTTTAGTTTGCTGTGATAAAATACCGTAATACTTACTTCGTGGCTAATCTTAATTTGCCTAAAGCCTATCTATGCTCGCCCTCAGACCTGAGTATATCCCCATGTGATCCTGATCCCAGCACCCCACGTAGTGGAATCATATCTTTAAACTCTCATATGGTCCCTATATCTTCGCTCGTAGGCTCCTGTAAACCACGATTCGGCGGGGTTCAGTTCCGGGTCTTAGTTTCGATGATTATCACCATAGGTGCCTACTCGTACTGTGCTTTAATGATACAAACAGTGCGTATCTGGCTACAATATCTCCCTAGACATCTGATAGTTCACAAGAGAGTACTCCTTCCAGTCAGATACTGGTTCAGGTCTGAAGAGACAAGTGATCAACGATCTCGACTAGATTTGCTGCGAATTGTTGGTAGGGGGCCATCTTCTGGAAAGACGCCACAAGCTTTTTGGTATGCGGTGATCCTGGACCTGTTTGTGAAAATCCAAGATCGCCGCAATCATTCGCTAGCAACACTGGCAAAGCGAGGGTAGTCAGGTGGGGAACGAAGACATCTAGGCAATTGTTCCCATATCCTGTGCAATATGCATGCAAGACTTCGGCTAGTATCTGCGCACTGTCGATGCAAATTTTCCGAGACAACGATTGGAATGGCGAGTCTGTTCGACGTATCCCACTTTCCCCCGGATCTTCGGGTGAGGTCAGCGGGCTTATCCGGATGAAGGGACAGTACAGGCGGAGAATGGTATGATGGAAGAAGAGACTATTGTGGTCAGGTGTTCTGTTAGTCGTAACAAGAAGAATGAAGTTTGGGCGGAATGAGAGAAGAAAACAAGACTGCTTACTGTAAAAAGAGACATGATAGTGACAGTTTAGGATTATGCTCTAGGTTCCATTTTAGTCGAGCCGGAAGTTCCTTTTGCCAGAACTGGAGTTCTTCATGTAAAGTGGCTGTTGCCAGCAAATGAGAGGGATCTCCTCCGTAAGTCTGATTAGGAGCTACTAGGTTGGCGTGCCTAGGTACTTTGGTTGCCAGCTCCATCAGTTTCCAGAGGGCGTCACATGATTGCTTGTCGACCTGTCCAGATTGATGCACTCTGGGAGGAGAGGTGGAATCCTGTGATTCTGAGGACTTGTAACTCGGCTTGGTGAACAGCAAATCAGATCGGTCGATGACGATAGGGTGCCCCGAGATCGTAGCCCACATCCTGTCATAGAACACACATGCCTGAAGAAGTGACTGACGGTTTTCGATTTCCCGTTGAGGTATACTCGACTTCGAATGATCTAGTGTCAACCCTATCTCGAATGCAAACCGACAAGCAAGACCTGTGCTCTAGTTAGCGCGAGAACGATCAACTGTACGGGAATGAGACTGCTGCTGAACGCAGTATCGTTTGGGTGGGACAAACCAGCATACATCCAACTCATCCTATCGTTGCCCCCAGCACACTCCAGATGGCTGAGAAGAAGGAGAGACTGAATGGTTGACAGGCGGTGGGGTTTCTTCAGTTCAGGTTCGACCATATAGCGAGCATTTCCATGGAAGATGCTATCTCTGTTTCCTCTAACCAGGGCTTGGATATCCGGTCGGGACTTGTCCGCAAATGTGAAGCCCATAGCCAGGCAACACAGGTGTAAAAAGATTGAATAGTGCAATTGGTCGCCATCCTCGATCTCGTGTTGTTGAAACGCATCCTGGTCAACAATGTTTAGGTGGTCATTGTAGGAGGACCAGAAGCAGGTCATCAGATAATCATACGTCTCCTGGTCCAGCTCGCTGATGATATGACTGAGTCGTCTTTGCATATGCCACGAGCCTGGAGGAGTACCTGGAGACTGCATAGAACCATCGCCATAATGTTGGAGTCTCTCCACAGGGCCAAGGTATGACAGCTGCCCTGTGGTGCTACTATATTGTAGTCGAGACGTTGTGAAGAGAAGCGAATGGAGGGAGGGTGCACTGGCGCGGACTTGGCCTCGATCCGAGGAGCTTACATCAAGCATGGAATACTCATCAGCTGATAGTACATTAGTACCCGGTGTTAAGCTCGATGCCTGCCCGCTTGAGTGGGATGGCACGGGAACTCCAGGGACTTCAGTTCCATCCGGTCCAGTTGCCACATGCAGGTCCGAACCAAAAGGGAGAATACTAGGCTGAAGAGACTCTTGTGACAGTGTTTGCCTCTGGGGGTGAGGAAGGGAAGGGTCCAATTGGCGTGGAGATTCTCTTTCCACTTCTTTCAGCCGTGATTCAAGGAGTTCAATGTGCTCGAGTAATGATTGTGTGAAATGTCGAGATCGAGGCCTGCCCGTGTTCAGTTAGTATCAGTGTCCGCGGAAGTCAGAACGGGTCCATCTGGTTTACTTTCTACGCTCATCATCACCGAGAAAGACACACGGCAAGCCGCTGTCCTTGCAGTGATCGCAAGCGGTCTCGTCGGGCTGGGTGACACACTTTGGGTGTTAGCTCATCGTGTCGCTAAAACAAAGCCTGTCGACTTTACCTTTTTCCTCTTCTGTCGGCAGCCTGTGCAAGCAGCCGATGCGCGACTACGCCGAGGCGCGGAGTTTGATGTTTGACCCTTTGTAGGACCCATGAGAGCCCCTGAGTGACAAAGCTCAGAAGCTGCGGACCGATGAGAGCCCATATACTGCCTGTAGGTGAGCGAGTGTAGGCCCATAAGTGAGGAGGTCTGCGAGAGACGTCGGATAACATTAAGTTGATCGACAATTGGGACCCTGGGTCGGAAAATGTTACCCGGGTAGGATGACAATCCATAATATCACGTGATAAAATGGTATCTATGCCTGTGATAGGGATTTCTAGATTTACGGATCGTCCAAGGTACCAACTTGGACCAATCCAGAGGGTTCAATCAGGTTGGATATTGAGTGAGTATCTGGTTTGCAGCTGGCGAGCCTAACCCCGGCCATTCCAGCCTGGCGGGACTTCCTAAGGTGCATATGTAGTTCTGACGACGTTCCGCCATTTAGCAGCTAAAACAGCTAAAGCTATCGTCCGCAAAATGAGCAGGCAGACAGGATGCCTCAACTGCTACGTTCCATGGACTTGTTTCGCATGGACAGCTAGTTAAATGTGAAAAGCCATGAATTTTCCCACCATCTGTTATGCCTACTCGACCAGAGCCACGTATGCTGATATTCTAGCGGGCATTCGGGAGCAGAAGCACTCCTTTGGAAAATTATGACTATTGGGACACCACGATCGAAAGCCGTTACTAGAGAGCCTGGTGGAGATGAAACATGCTCAACTTATGCCCTCGAGAAACAAATGCCTCCGAAGAATAATGAAGGTCCAGATGACGATGACATCCTTTGTCATATCATGAGGTAGGTTACAAAGCTCTTGTCAAAGGCATATTGAATTAACCTTGGTAGATTGATGCAAACCACCGCCGGCTTCGGTGCAGCTTTGGGTACACTCGGCTTTACTGTCAACCTCGCTGCGCACCATTCGCCACAAGTGTCCAAGTACTTCTGGCTCCTGGCAGGCATGACAACGCGAGGGAAAGGGAAGACTGCCAAATCAACCTTTTCGCTGTCAGCCATGGGAGGCCTTATTTCTGATCTACGGAGAAGTCTGCGACTGGTCGGCTTGATACCTTTGTATCTAAGGCTGAAGTCTGTTTTGTCCGGCGAGGCATCTTGCAACGACGATCCTGTTCTTCGTCGAATTTTGATTGTCCAATGCGGCGCATTCGTTGTATATCAAGCAATTGAAAACATCTACCATCTTCACATCAAGGGCATAGCTTCCCCATCCATTGTCAACCAGAATGGGGGGCTCGCCGCATGGATAGCCTGGAGTTGCCGTGCTTGGGCCGTTGCGGTGGCTTGCGATCTCTTCCGATTATGGCATGAAGCACAGTGTTCTAGGGTGGGAAATGTTGGCAAAAGAGCTCCTGAGGAGCAGGCCGTTCGAAGCAAATGGTGGAGGGAGTTGATCACCTCGGCGCTTTGGTTACCCGTTGCCACTAATGGCAGCTTTTACCCTGACGGTCTCCCATGTATGAATCCGGGTAGAGTCGCATTAGCTGGTCTTCTAGCTTCTCTCAACACGCTTCAGAGTCAGTGGGAAGCTGTTGCCTGAGCAGGCTGTCAGGAAATGTACTCACAGAAGTAGATGGTCGCAACAAAATGCAGCAGGCAACCAGGAGTTCGGCATGTCTGGCGGTCTGGGAAGAGATCATCTGGCTTTTGTTGGGGCTTGTATACATCAACACCAGTTACCGGCAATTCGCTATAGAAATGACCTGGCCACCACTGTCAGGGTCGCTCGATAAGAACACCGTCATTCTTTCTCCTCGACTATTTTACTTAGCATACATTGCACTACACGGCGGAGGCCAACGCAAGGAAAGAAATGCGCCCGAGAGACATACCCATGTCCAAGGGCCTTAAATTCCGCCTCTCCTGTGGCTAGGAATTTACACTACCGAGCCCATTCTCGGCTGCTAGTCATCTCAATCAGCTAATGGTATTTCAGGGCTACCCAAAGGAAGCCACTGGGCCTTTCAAGCCTCGGCTGCCAGGAATGTACCCCTTTTGGCTCTTCTACTTAGATTTCACATATAGAGGCTCGAATGCTATGCTCCATTCCTTCTAAGCTCATCGCAAAGACCACCAGAAAACTATCAAGACGACGTTCCAGAATCCTGATGACTTTAAAATCTAAGTATCCTCCCTTGGAGGTTCCCGAGTGCAATATCCTCTCCTTCGTGTTTCCTGCCGGCCGAAAACCTTCTGAGAAGCCCACATGGATTGATGCCAACGACCCCTCCAACAGCCTGTCACTGGCGGATATGCTATCGTGGGTCAAGAGGTTTGCAGCTGGGCTTGATGTGTTAGGGGTTGGTCAAGGAGAGACTATCATGGTCTTTACGCCTAATCACATCTTTGTTCCTGTTGCTTACCTGGCCACAGCAGGGAGCAAGAGGATCTTCACAGGAGCCAATCCGGCCTACACCGTTGACGAGGTGGCTTATCAAATGAAGATCATCCGAGCAGCTGTTGTGCTGATCCATCCTTCGCTCCTCCGCCAGGGCCTTGCAGCGGCCAAACAAGCCCAGATCCCTATCAGCCGTGTTTTCCAGTTCTCATCAGTGGAGTGTCCTGTCCAGAATGGAGTTCGTGATTGGAGGGATATCACGACAATGGCCTCGACAACTGAGGCACAGTCCTGGCAGTGGGATACTCTTCGTCGACACCGGTCTCAGAACACAATTGCAGCCGTCAACTTCTCTAGTGGAACGACGGGTCTCCCAAAAGGCGTATGCATCAGCCACTATAATCTAGTCTCGAATGCTATCCAGAATCTGGCCAACAAATTCCATAACACTGGCTGTTCTGAAACAGATCCAGGACCTGAGAGGTGGCTTGCAACCCTTCCTCTTTATCATGCCTATGCTCAGCTTTGGACTATCACGATCGCCAGCCGGCTCCAGGCTTCGGTTTACATCATGTCGAAGTTTGTCTTTGAAGATTACCTCAGACATATTGAAAAGTACAACATCACAACCTTGCAAGTCGTCCCGCCAATTCTCCTCATGCTAAACAAGCGACCGGAAACTGCCAAGTATAAGCTACATAGCCTACAAACCATTCTCTGTGGTGCAGCACCCCTTTCTCCAGCAGTTCAAACCGAAGTCAGTCAGCGCCTCGGCGTGGTAGTGGTACAAGGATGGGGGATGACGGAAACTACTTGTGCTGGAATCATGATCCCTGGCAGGATGGTAGAGGATACCGGGAGCATCGGTTACCTTCTTCCCAATACAGAAGCCCTCCTACTGGATGAGGAGGAGAACGAAGTCACAAATGATGGAAAACCTGGGGAGCTACTGCTTCGAGGGCCACAGGTCATGCTGAAGTATTGGGAAAATGAGATTGCGACAAAAGAGACCCTGACTCCCGATGGCTGGTTGAGGACCGGCGACGTGGCAGTCGTAGAAGATGGCAAGTTCTGGATCGTGGATAGAAAGAAGGAGCTCATCAAGGTCAATGGTCTGCAAGTGGCTCCAGCCGAATTGGAGGCTATCCTTCTACTCCATCAGGACATTGTTGATGCTGCAGTGACGGGGATCCGATTCCAGGATGACGAATGGCCAAGGGCTTATGTGGTAAGGCGTGAACATTCTCAGACGACGGAAGCTGAGGTGCGAGAATTTGTAGCAACCAAGGTCGCTAAGCATAAGCGACTCTCTGGAGGAATCATGTTCGTCCCTGAGATCCCAAAGCTAGCGAGTGGAAAGATTATTAGGAAGCAACTTCGAGAATGGTCAAAGAGAGATGCCAAAGAGATGGGAGGCATAATGAGGTCGAGTTTGTAATCAAACCCTCACACAAGGAGCCTATCTGTGATCGAACATTAGATATGCGAAGCATTCCAGTGAATGATATAGGTCAATACGTTGTCGCCCAGACACCCGTGTTAACTACAATCGATCTATACGCGATTCCATTTCTTGAGATTCACCATTGTTCTGGGGTCTGCCGGCCTATGGAGGCCCCGCGTAAGACAACCTTAGGTTCTTCGCATTAGCGAAGGGTAGGTACTGTCTGAATAAATCAAGAGCTGTCTTCCGCCACTTCTTCGGCATGGAATTTCCGCCTGTCTTGACCCCGCGCTCTCGTTCCGGATGTCGTTGATCAATGCCCATCAAGCATATGGCATCATGTATGCCGGCAGTCTCGAAACATTTATCATGGACTCTGCCTCTTGAAAGGCTCACGGCATTCAAACGGTGAATTGAGTTGTACATTGATCGATGCAACGTTCCCATACTTGAACCATCACTTGTTCCCGCCATGGCATACAAAGTCCGGTATATGTGGCACCCAACTCACATGGTCACTGACCTTCTAGCCTGCGAGAGATTCTTTCAGGATGTTTTCAATCTGGAGAGCATCCCCGTTGAGGCAAACCTACCCCCAATGGAAGAATGCCCAACCTATCCCCGAGACTACTCAATATTGACCCTGATCCGCGATGTCATGTTCGACAGTGTAGATCCGACAAAGTACGTCATAGAAGGGCGCCAAAGCCTGGACGACGTGGATGCACCAGGTCATCCATTGTGTTTCGGTCTGGCTGTCGAAGGAGCTGATGAACTCTACAAAACATTCGTAGAGAACGGAATTCGGTCCACAGATCAGGCCAATCGGGTCGCCAGGCGGAACAAGGCCCCTATAACTGGATTCAAGAATGCCACGCTCTTCTTCACTCTCCCAGAAAGTGCTGGCCTGCGATATCAATTCTATCCCGTCGAGGCCACAGGGTATCCTGACCCTCGTGCTGAACCAGGTTGGAAGCTGCCCCCTATGTCCAAGGACGATCCTCTCGCGCTTGAATTTTGCTCCCACCACACCATCCTTTCGCTTGACCCTACCAAGGCGTTCAACGTCTTTATTGGAATTCTGAAGGGCAAGATCATCTATCGAGGCCGAAACGAATTGTTGGAGACAGATAGCACGTACATCTCCCTGGGCAGCGATGTCTATGAAATCGCGATCCCGACTCGCGCAGGATCGTTCGCAGCCGAAGATGTCAAGTGGAACGCTCCATTTGACACGTACCATGGGATCACTTTTAGAACGGCTGACCTCGCCAAAGTCCGGCGCCATCTCGAGGCCAAGAGGGTTCCGCTGTTGTTACAAAACGACCATATGATCATCACAGACCCGAAACATACCATCGGAGTTCCGTGGGGGTTCACCGATACAAAAATTCCCGGCGACCTTAGGTTGGCGCCGTGACAAGAATAGCTGAAGATCGCTAGTGGATTAACGCAGGATGCGGAAAGTAGGCTCATGATACTTATGTACCAAAGGGTCAATTACTGGTCCAAAAAAGCCAGATTGAGGTGTGAAGGAGGCATATCTAGCATACTTTGATAAAAGCTATTATTTTAGGCAAGGCCTTCCCTTGAAGACGCTGGCTTCCTCATATTATGGCCTCGTTTCCTCCCGGACAAAAGACTTTCTCACAAAATCGACAGGCAGCATAGTCACATGGCCCAATTAATGTTGTTCCACACCTCCAGGCCAGAATCCTCCCACATCATGGGCAGGTCGTGGGCTTTTAAAACACCATCCTGGAGCATATCGCTTGAATTCAGTGCAGGAGGGAAAGGCATGCTCCACTCATTCGCAGCATCTACATTATTACTTCCACTCCAAGTGGTAGGTTGTACTTGGACTGCTCCTGCTCCACTGGTGGTAGCATTGGTGGTAGCATTGGAGATACCCTCACAAGGCGCATTCTGTCGGGCTCTTCTGGCCTCGATGATGTCGCGAGCGACTTTGATAGACCGTCCCAACACGGGGATGACGTTTCGGGCCAGAAACATGTTCTGAGAGAAGGGAGTTATGATTTTCAAAGATTTGTTCAGAAGGTTTATTGCCGGCATGGTCAGACCTTCGGCATTGTTCTGCCTGACAATGATGCATATCATGGGGACCAACGCGCTAATGATATGGTGGAGATACGCATGGCGTTGGCAGCGACTCGTTTCATATAGCGTTTGAGACATCTCAACAGCGCCGATAATTTCTTCGGCAAGGTCGATACAAAGCTGAGCCGTCTTCTTGCTGTACGTGAGACTGAACATTTCGTCCCGCCAAGGCAGCATACGAAGGTACAAGATCCGCAGATGTAGTACGAAAGCTTGATTGTGAACGTAAGAAGGTCTTCCATCATACATCTCTTGGGATTCCGTCGAAAGGGGCCAACGTAGGGCCGAAGGAATCTGTTTGGAAAACTCGACGATCTTTGCATCCAGCGCGGCAGTAACCTCGTGGGGGACTGGCTTCTTTGCCCGGACCCCGAAGATGGTCTCACAAATCTCAGAGGAGAGCCTCGTCAACTTGATCACCTGCAGAACATAGGGGATCGGGCTGGTGGCCGGCATTTCTGGCAATGGCAAACATGTTGGATAGAGCATCCTGTCATCGACACACTGAGGTAGCCCGACATTGATGTCGGACTCGTGCAGGAGCTCAGGCAAGCCCCTGGTTTGAGCCACATTGTGGTTGAGGCAATAAACCGACCAGAACACGCGTCTCCTGTACACCCTGTCGTAAAATTTACAGTCATTTCCCCATGATGACTCGTCGTGCAACCCAAGCTGGAAACATAGGCGGACGGTGGTTCCCATTGTATTGTATGCCAAGTTGAGGAACCCAGCGTACATGAAGTACAATGTCTTCAGAAGAAGGGCTTGCACAGTGACAATATTAGCTCGCTCTAAACTGGTGGCGTGATTAAACAACTTCTCAGCCAAAGCCAAATCCTGCCATCCTGGAATGGATTCGGTAGGGGTAGTGGTATCGCTCAGGATGCTGGTCACGGCCATTAGGTACTTGAGAAGAGTGGCAAGTTGCACTGCGTTGGTTTTGGTCAGAGTGGCCGAGTCGTTGGCCGAGAAAGCAGAGGCTTGCGCTCGTAAATGGTTCTCATTCATACACGGGTAGTGAGGATGCACATATGCAAAGAATATGTCGAGTGCCCGCAAAAGGTCAGACACACTCTGCGCTCGTACTTGCTCTATTGTTTGATCGACGTCCAAATAGAGACGGGCTGTCGAAGGATTTGTGTCCAATGTGGTTGGCTCCCTTCCGCTGCAGTCGTCTTTGACGGTTTCGGTGTAGGATCCCTGTGCTTGGGTGACGGTCCGATACAACAAATCGAGTTGTCGAAAAAAGGATGCCCCCGTCACAAAGTTGGTGCTGCACTCAAAGACGTTTTCTCGTGGAGAGGAAGGCTCAGCCGTGTCCACAACGCTCGGAGTTGTCTGGCCACAATCAGGGGGATCTCGCTCAGAGGCCACCACATCAAGGATAGTAGCAGGATTGGGTTGGTCGACACTGGAATTATCAGCCCAGTTTGTGGGTGCAATGCTGCAGGTGGAAGGGCTTCTCCTCCTCGAAGGTCGAGCTCCACGAGGTTCTGAGAAGACACAGTCTGTGGCCCAGCGGCGGCAGTTTTGGCAGTCTTTCTCGCCACTACATTTTCTCTTTCGACGCTGACACTCATTGCACGCTTGAGGGGTGTACTTGTCACGAACCCTGAGCCGATTGGAACCTGAAGTGATCATGGCAGGGCTGTCTCGTCTATAGTGTGTACTGCTATCTGCATAGATCCTTTGGAAATTGATGAGACGAGACAAGCGAAGCGCTTGTAGATCAAAGGAGCGTAAACAGGAACAGGAAGACGTGTGTAAGGTGAGGCTGGACACATGCCATGGGTCGGTAGACAGAACATCAGTCAGCTACCAACAATGCTTCACTACTTGCCCACCTGTGAACTGTGTCACCAGCCCCAGAATTCTGCTTGTTGGCGTCGTGATGTGGGGATGGCGGGTCGTGATGGGTTTCGGTAGACGTTAGCCGCCAGTTCCCCTCGACGGGCGGAACACCACACCCTTGATTCCGACCGACCCTCAGTTCTGAATCGATCTCTAGGGGCTCAGTTCACAAGCCCATTGTAATAGTGGACACTATCGAAACTGCAATCACAAATTGAATGAGACAGGGGTTCAAGAGAACGTCACTTGGGCTTCACAGTGTCTCTGAAAGAATACTCACATGTCTAGAGAGATTGGATAGAGGTGAATTGAATCATTGTTGACTTGTGCACGCCCAACATCGCACCAATTGCGAATCTATTCCCCTGTCGTTTGAACCTTTGCGTTTCTCTCTTTGAATGTGAATCCCACCCACTCCCATACCAATCATATTATCTACATTGAGACAGATGTACTCCATACCAAGGTCGGTTTCACGTATGAGGCTTCTCTGAGAGAGACTGACACCCAAGGTAGAACTATAAGCCAGGACGCATCATTTGTTCCATGCCTGCAGAGTTTGGCAAGCCTCCTAAGGGAAAAGGAAACCCTGATCGGAGCAGCGGTGACGATTGGAAGCACACTCTGCGCACAGATTACTGCGAGAGTAGGATTCGATTGGGTGCTGATTGACATGGAGCATGCTCCAATGTCAGCAAGGGAAGCGTCGACGATGGTGCAAGCCGTGGTATCTGCGTCGGGAGGCCAGTGTGTGCCAATTATTCGAACACCTTCCCATGGAGTGGAATGGATTAAGTGGGCTTTGGACTCTGGGGCGGCGGGCATCATCATCCCCATGGTGACTACAGCCCAAGAATGCGAGGAGATTATCAAACGAGCCATCTATCCTCCCCATGGGCAGCGTAGCTTTGGTCCCTTCCTCGCTCCCTATGCTGACGTCGACCCCACGTCTGATGTCACAAAGTACCTTCGAACTCGAGTGAAGGATGTTGCCATCATCCCCATGATCGAATCCGCGGAAGGCGTGAAGAATGCTGAAGAGATCCTATCAGTCCCCGGCGTCACCGGTTGCTTTGTCGGTCCATACGACCTGCGCCAATCCTTGGGTCTACCCGCTGGTGATGGCGAGGAGCCCTCCTACATCAGCGCTCTGGACAAAGTGCTCGAAGCAGGGAAGAAGAATAACGTGGTAGTTGGCACCGTGGGCGCCACAGAAGCCTCTGCGAAACGGAAAGTTGAGATGGGTTTCAAGTTCCTACTCACTGGACAGGAGCCGAACTTTCTCGCCGCTGGTGCAACTAAAGCTCTTCAGTCGTGCCAAAGAGGTGCGAAGAATGGTAGATCCAGTAATCTATGAAAACCAGAACGCAGTTTGGGTTCAGTACACCTTTGAAGTGAAGTCTAAAATTCTAAGACCATCACAAGTCGGCTTTCCTCATCATTAAATTCTGGATCCCCAATTCAAAAATTGTTACGGTTAACTATACGATCTTCTTCGTCCGCTGGCATGCCTCGAGGCTCCAATTCTAGTCCATCAGGTTTCTCACCTCCTGATCACCCGAACCCAAGTCTCGCCCTTCTTAGGAACTTTGAGTGCTTTGAACTATCATACTCGTCAGTGGAAGTCATGGCCGAGTTCAGAGCACCGACCACACCTACCTTGAAGTTTGTGACCAGAGTGGCGACGCCCTTGTAGAATTCTAACAATGACACGTTTTTTCCCAAGCACGTGCTAGAGCCCTGTCCGAAGCTCAACTCGGTACTGTTCATCAAATTCCTTCGTTTCCACCACTCCTGCTCACTCTCGCCCTCTTGTTGCATCCACCGCTCTGGCCTGAACAACTCAGCGTCCTCGCCAAACGCCCTGGGCTCGCGATCAATGAAGCTCGCTGGACACCCGACGTTCGTTCTCGGAGGCAGATAAACGCCGTTAGGTAACTCGAGCCCACTGGGTCCCGTGACTCTTTGCAAATTCGAGCTGGTCGAGGTATGCAATCGGAAACCCTCGTGAATTATTCCGTCGAGATACGGCAGGTCCTTGACCACGTCAAAGCTCAGTGGAAATGTGACATTGGCATCTTTCACTTCTTGGAACACCCGATCTTGTCCTTCCGGAAGGACTACTAATCATTCGCAAAGGGAGTTAAATGCACGGCTCGGGCTAAGCCCACCACCAACGAGATTTCCTGATGACAAAGTGAGGACCAGGTTGGCGTCCATCAATTCGGGAGATTTAGCATGTGTTTCGACGAAATGTGCCAACAAGTCTGGTCGACCTGGGGGAGGTTTCTGTGCCTCTAACCTTGCAAATACGATCGACGCAACGAGCTTCGCAAACGCGTTCGAGACTCTCAGCCTCGCTCTGGGGTTGTCCTTGAGCACCTTATGCAGCCAAGGCATCTGTGACACCGGTGCCGAATACGTGGCGACCTCCTGCACGCGCATCATTTCCGTCGAGAAAACCCAGTGCATTCCCAAGAGTGATTTTGGAGACGACATCGAAGCAATCTGATTCATCAAGTCAGCATAGGTTCATCAGCTCTCAACGTTTGACCTGGCTCATCACAGAAAGTGGACAAACAGTATTGATACCAGCGACTCAGGTTCACGCACTCCTCTGTCGTCGCAAATTTATCGAGGACTCCAACAAATTTCCCAACCATTTCGTCCACATGGGGCTCATATGCCTTCATGCTACTCATGCTAAAAGCGTTACTGACCAAACGTTTGTATTTGGCATGCGTCGTTTCATCAGATATCGTGAGGAGGCTCCGGTTCTCTCCGCCGAGCCGGAAAGCATTATAGGCAGGGCCTTTGTTCAGCCTTGCACATACTCCATATATAGCGGGAACGGCTGCCGGGTCGAGCACCACGACGGTCTGGGGGCCGGTCCGCACCACATCGCCGTAACGCGTCTGAAGGTCTTTGTAAAAGGCGTAGCGGTTTTCAGCACTAGCATATCTCCAGGCTTTGTATGCCATCCACACATTCATATATCTTGCATGCCATGGACCAGGAATCTTGGAGAGACCTGCTCTGACACTGAACAGAACTAAATAGATTGTCCATATGGACAGCAAGACGCTGAGACCAACGAGGGTTTTTTGTCTCAGATCCAGCCGTGGAAGGAGTTGGTAAATATCTGCCATTGTGTGCTCCATTCCTTTGCTTTCTGCAATGGACTTTGCCGCGAGGAAGAGAAGATGAGATATTAATAAGGTTCGCAGTGGAGTGCCCGATACTATAGGTCATACTCCGAGTCAGAGGCGTCTTTATCTCGAAAGATTCAAAATTCTGGGGTGAGCAGTCTTTTCCTTCGATAATCAACGGAAATCCTCTCGGACCGACCCCATTATATCGAAATCTCGTGTCAGTCGCATGCGTCTCAATCGCCCACATCACAGCGGTGACCTACTCGGCTCGCACGTAGGCTTGTGCTAGTATCTCTGCGGGATGCTTCCGGACTACCAATGAGTTTGACAGTCAGATCCCAAAGTATAATTCTCGGATTTTTCTTTGTAAAGATGTGTCGGAAGCCTTTTCTCGATTGACCTGATCTATTGAAGCGGGCCGAGTACGTGGGAGCCCGAGAACAACTCCTATTGAGTCTAGAGATTATTTGATTTGCGGAATTATTTCCAGAACCGCAATTGAATAAAGTGGCATTCCTTTGTATGGTTCATCTGCCAGTCTTGTTGCTGTGGGGTAATGGCAAAGTAGTGACCAAGTGATATCTTTGCTCGAAGGCTTCTACAACGAAAAGGTGGTTATAATGCAGAGATAATTGACAAAGTGTTCCAGTAAAACTCTGTTGCTGCTTGATGAAATATTCGAGATGTTCTGTCGTATGAATGGAGTTCACTGTTTCACGTGGGTCTTCTGAAAGTTCAGAATTCGAGATTGCAGGTATGAGCCCATACTTATGTTTTCGATAGTGTCTCCAACGAAACTATACACATCCCCGTAAATCTCGGAGTGGAGATGCAGTGGCATGTTCTGTCTGGGAAACCACAGTGTCCTCTGCGTAGTTCCAATTCTCGGAGGCTGGGTATCTCGAAATATCGGAGTGTAAGTCGCCGAGAGACACCGAAGTTGACTGTTTTGCGGGGTTGCATGAGATACATGGTTCTCGAATGGCTTGCAATGTGAACGCTGGGCTCTTCGTCATACATAAAACAAGTTGGACTATTGAGACAACATTCGAGGAACGACCAAGAAGTAGGTACCGATCCTGTGGTTGTCTGACATGTTGGACAACCCTTGTGCATATGCTCAAACCTCTCACATCGTCGAGATATTCATATAGCCCGAGGGACTCCGCTCAGAATTCCCCAATTAGGAAGTTCGCCGCGTTTAGGGAGAGGCGAGCACCTGACGCTAGGATTTGTCTTGATGGGCGATCACGCTCGAGACTCGACGTGACCACTGAGTTTAGGGAGCCCACGATGCTGTGCCATAGCTAGCAAAAGTCAACAAGGCGGTAGAGAAAAGCAGGACACATCATGACCGGTCGATTGAGGTACTAGGTAACTAAGACAGGATTTAAAGTATGGAAGGCCGAGGACGTGCTTTGTTCGAGGGGCTTAGGTGTTGGGCCAATTCCTGGGCTACTTAAGATCAATGAGGTAGGAGCCAGTTGGGCTGGTATCCTGCGTAGACAGATCCTGACTCTCTCTCTCTATCTCTTTTAGATTAAGACGACAATTGAGGCTTCCTCACGCCCGTGTTCTGTCCTGCCATTATCAGTCCCTTGTGAGAGCATCCGAATTCGATCAGAAGACAGCCACAACATTTGAATGGCTACCCACTCCGCCTGGAAACGGAATTAGTCTTCATTGCAATTGAACAGGTCTCTTTAGCATACCCTTGACATTGGCTGGAGAGCTAGACAGGAAGAAGGTGTAACGGTTGTGCTTTCTACACAAAGCCGCCAGCTCTTCTAAATCCCAGAGCTCGCCAATAGGGCTACCCCAGAGAGGTAGAAGCCAGTGGTGAAGATGCTCTGGTTCGTCCATCGGCCATGTCTCGAAGGACGGTGCGTCGCTGGCGACCGCACTGAAGTAGTTATCATGGAGAAGCTCAACCATATCGTGAGAACGAGAAAGACCAGCGAATTTCAGGTCCAGATAGGCGGTAGCACTCATTTCCTCGCGCTGGGTTTTGTTAAGTTTGCGGTATGCCTCGGAGAAGCCGGTTCTGACGATGAATATATCACCATACCTGAACTCGACACCTTGTGCCTTTGCGCACGCCATGATCTCCTCGGCGGTAATTTTTCGAGGCGTGAAGGGATCGTAAGACTTCCCGCAAAACTCATAGAAGTCGATCAAGACGCCACGCCCGACTACATAGCACGCGCGCAGGTCAGTATCAGCAATCTCGATCGTCAGCCGTGGGCAAGTCAGTGTCTTTACCAATGCCTCGACGAGCCCACGCGTTTGTGCCGATCTTTCCCGAAATGCCTTCGATCTCTTCGACAGTTGTCTGAATTATGTGAGCTTGTCATCCGCCAAAGGTTGGGTAGTCAAATTTACGTTGTTATACCAAATGAACCCGTCCTTGTGCTTGATACCCGCCTACCGAGAAGTCAACCTCGATAGTATATGTCTTGCTGCACAAGGTAACTCACGTGTCGAAACCCATCCCATTGCGACCCACTTTGCGTATTCAATTCGTACAGGTCGTCGAACGCATATGGACGAACCTTCAAGAGGGTATGCTTGAAAGGGGTACGGCCGAAGAAAGGAGGCTCGGGCCACTCCACGGGCAAGCTTTGCAAAGAAGCAGTATGTCAGACGGTCCTGGAGGAAAGAGACAGCTTCGAAAACAAGTGCTTGAGCGTTGGTTGGACTCACTTCAATCCCGCCCTCTCTCCTGTCATTATTAACTGTGCGGCCTCGACGACTCTTCGTGGAGTTAGGAGATTCAAGCGTCCGAGCTATTCTAGAAGATCAACTTTGCACTGGAGACAACCATTTTTGCGACCCTAGAAACCTTGCTAAAGCTGGTCATTTGTAAGCAGATCCTTCACTCACCTCATCGTCCGATCCCCAGAACCAAGCAGCGTGATCTGGAGCTCCAGGAATTTTTGGCAAGTCGCGGAGCTTGGGAAGGTTCTCCGAATCGGGATCCCATCTCGACACAGTAGTCATACTTACAATATCTTGATATCAGTCGGCTCGCCTAAACTGCAACCTTGAGAAGCATTGCTTCGACTCAAGGCCCCTTGAGCCTGATATATGGACCTGCTTCTCTATGTGATCCACTATTATATCCTCTGCGGGGATCGGAAGGCGGAAGAACGGCGGGCTGTGTCCAATGTGCTTCTTCGGGCTATTTAGTTGACCGACAGCTCAGACAAGCCGATACGTCTGACGAGTAGAGTAGCCAATGCGGAACACATCGCGATTGGAGCTGCACAGATGCCATTCTCCAGCATTGGTGGAAGGGTTCATACCACTTTTTAAGAATTCCACGTCATCTAGAGGCCGAGGCCTATTGTTCTGGAGGGTAACAGGATATTGTCTGTTATTCACAAAACTTCGGCATGGGCGCATTAGACTGATCTAGTTTGCTCGAGTGAGTACACAGCGTTACGAAGGTATCAGCTATCAATATAATCTCACAATTCTTGGAGCTAGATGCTGTGTTTGAGGCTCCTCTATGGAAATTGCTCCTACGCTGTGGCGGAAAGAGTCTTTGCGACCTCGATGCCACCAACAGACCCGGTTACCTTTTCGTGAGCAAGAGGGTCCTGCGGCAGCTTGACTTTCCAGTTATCGCCGACCTTGTTTTCTCCCCAAGCGTATGGCCCGTTGTCGAAGGTATTGGTGCGACGCATATCCCTTCGATACTTGAAAATATACTCGGAAGCATCAAGAGCGCGATGCCATACCGCAGTGTTATCCCACATGACCGCGTCACCTACCTGCTGCCAAGCGACTCTGTGGACAAACTTAGGTTGTGTGCCATGTTCAATCAGTTCTTGGATCATCTGATGACTTTCTTCGATTGAGTACCCCTGGAATCGATAGACGTAGCTCGTCACATAAAGATTCTTCCGACCACTGCCTTCGTGGGGATAGACAGCCTTGAAATGAGAGACAGGCCAGTCATAAGGGTTAACGCCTTTATATAGGTCTGGAGCTGCGACTCGACGGTTATGAATCAAAGAACAGTCGCAAACAATGTTCTCAAGCTTCTTCTTCCATTCCGGGGACAGCTCGTCATACGCCGTGCGGGAGTCTGCGAATTCGGTCTCTCCACCAAACGGTGGGATCTCTACCGAACGGAGAAGAGAATACTTATCCCGACGAGGATGATACTGCATATCCGCGTGCCAGAGCTCGTTGCCCTTCTTCAGCATAGAGATAACACGATCTTCCGACTTGATGATCTCACCATTATCATCCAGGTTAGAGACATCAAAGATAAATGGTTTGTCTGGGAAGCGACCGCGTCGTCGAATGAAGGGCATTGAATCCAATTCGCCAAATTGTCGCATGAATGCCCCATGGGAGTCATTGTCAAGGTTGGCCTTTCTAAACACAAGGAATCCATACTTGTCGATTGCTTTCTGGACCTGCGAGACAACCGATTCGGGAACCGGCTTGGAAAAGTCGATGCCTTCTACCTCGGCACCAAACGTGGGGTGAATGGGAGTCAAACGAATAGTTGTAGAGTTTGCCATGTTTAAAAGGCACGAGTATCAGTGTGTAGTCGAATAGCGTTAGGTGATTGTTCCAATATGAGAGTGTAGATTGCTTTGCTGACGCACTGCTTGCACCTCGAGTGTGTTTAAATCCGGACACATATTGATTACTCTTGTCGTCTCTAGCAGTAGTCCTGAAGACTGGAGGCCAGAGGATCTCACGTGGAGGCGGAATTGATCATCACGAGATGGCGGAAGCAAGCAGACAAAATCCGATTCTAGGAGGCAAAGTAACCTGGGGCTCAAAATCACTCTTGCGTGATAGCTAAGGAGTTCATGTCAAGGCGATCATAGGCCCGTCTCAAATGGCGGAATGCTCAGACCAAACATTCGCCGCCAAGTGTTGTGCTATGCTCCTTTCCGCCTGGTGGAGATAGGGTTAGTCGAACTCTTGACACTCCGCCTCATCCTATTTGCCAGGACAATACACAGATGCCA